TCATAAAAAAATTGTACTGATCCATACATTTTTCAAAAAGTTATAGCATAATAAAGTTAAAAATGTAAAATACAAAATCGAAAATTTTCATACAAAAATAGCATTTGGTAGCCATTTTCACCATGAAGACAAGTCCATAGGTTTTTTTTCCATGATAAAATATATTACATTAGCTTTAATTTAAGATATATATAAAAGTGTCAGACCTTCCGGAACATTTTCAAAATTTAAGTTAAAAAAATTAATTTTTTTAAAAAAGTTGTCATTTTTAATCTCCCCAGTAGGCAGGTAAAATGGGTCATATATAAAAAAAAAATACCAAAAGAAAAGTACTGATGTCATGCATCTATAAAAAAAAAATAAATATTGATTTGGTTATTTTTAAAAAAAGTTATGGCACTTTATAGTAAAAAAATTGAAAAAATTTCGAAAATTAGCGATTTTTAAATTTGTAATTTTTTTGGAGGTTTCCCCATTTACGGCGAACGACGGATTTTTTTTCAATTTTTGAGGGTAATGTCTATCTAGTCGATATGATAAGTGATCTTTTGTCATATCATTGAAAGAATTCGGTTCGATGAGAGCTGAGAAAAAGTGGTAAAAGACACAAAAAAAAAAAAACACATCTTAGTAAAACCAATAAGGTATTGGTTTTAGAAGCTTAGACCTTCTAAGCTTCGCATTGAAGCTAAAATGCATATAGAGTGTAGAACTTTTTCAACTTAATTTTTGAAAGTGTTTCGGAAATACTGACACTTATATATATATATATATCTTAAATTAAAGCTTATGTAATATGCTTTAATATTAAAAAAAAAATGTTGGACTTTATTTTGTTTTCACGGTGAAAATGGCTATTGAAAGCTATTTTTGTGTGAAAATTCTCGATTTTATTTTGATCCAACTATGCCACGTGCTGCGACCCTTCTGTACTGGGTTACTTTTATTTTAAAATGATTGGCAGACATTATTATATTTAATATATTTTTATGCACTTAATTATCCATTATACTTTATAATAATTATGATTGTACATTACATTTATTTTTAATTAATAAATTATCTGATTCATTTAATTTAATAGATCATTCCCAACAAAGTTTTAAAACTTGCCACAGAGGAGAGCTTTGTTAAATTTAGAAATGATCGTTGTTCTACTAGTTCTATGGTATCATTTCGAGGATTAATGACTGATTCAGAACTTAATGAGGCTAATGAAATTACAAATGTAAGTAGTATCCATTTAGTTAATACAATGTTTTAAAGAATTTACATTAGTTTATTGATAGTGAATAGAAACTTTGTGAAATAAACAAATTCATTATAAATATACAGTATGATTAATTATGATCCCTACTTTTATGAGAAATAATTTTTTTTTTGTAAAATTTTATTTATTATTGTAAGCTATTGTAGGTATCTAGTTTTTAATAAAAAAAAGTTATACCTAAAGTAGATTTTATGGGTGAGATTTATCTAAATTTTAATCTCCATGTGATTAAAAATAATACATTAAACTAAGTCAACATATTAACAAGTTAACATAGAACAAGTTAGTAAAACTCGATAGTTATAAAAAAAGTGGTAAATCTTTTACCACTTTTTCTCAGCTCTCATCGAACCGATTTCTTTCAATGATATGACAAAAGATCACAAATCGTATCTAGTCGAAGACATTACCCTCAAAAATTGAAAAAAATTTCCTCGTTCCCCGTAAATATAATTTTTTTTTTTATAGATGCATCATATTATTACCTTTCATTTGGTATATAATTTTTTTATATTTGACCCTTTACCTGTCCACAGAGGAGGGTTCAAAATGACAACTTTTTCACAAAAAAATTACTTTTTCTACTTAAATTTTGATAGTGCTCCGGAAAGTCTGACACTTTTATATATATCTTAAATTAAAGCTAATATAATATATTTTATCATGTAAAAAAAAATTTTCGGACTTTATTTTATCTTCATGGTAAAAATGGCTACCGAATGCTATTTTTGAGTGAAAATTTTCGATTTTGTATATTACATTTTTAACTTTATTATGCTATAACTTTAGATAAATGTATGGATCAATACAATTTTTTCATGATAAGTAGTATTTATATACATCTTTCATTCAACATGCTGTTTTTTTAAATCGGACCATTTCCCTATATACGATAGGGGTTCAAATCTAACAAATGCATATAGAGTGTAGAACTTTTTCAACTTAATTTTTAAGTTCCTGAAATACTGACACTTTTATATATATAT